TATGGACCTAAACAGAGAACTTTTAACAGAGGAATCTAAAATGGCTGAAAGACACTTAAGGAAATGTTTAACATCCCTAGTCATCAGAGAAATGCAAATGAAAACAACCCTGAGATTCCATCTTACACCTGTAAAAATGGCCAAGATCAAAAACACTGATGACAACTCATGCTGGAGAGGTTGTAGGATAAAGAGAACACTCCTCCATTGTTGGTGAGAGTACAAGCTGGTAGAGCCCTTTGGCTATTAGTATTTCAATTTCTCAGAAAATTAGGAAACAACCTTCCTCAAGACCCAGCAATACCACTTTTGAGTATATATCCAAAGGATGCTCAATCGTGCCACAAGGACATGTGCTCAACTATGTTCATAGCAGCTTTGTTAGTCATAGCCGGAACCTGGAAACTACCTAAATGCCCCTTGACTAAAGAGTGAATAAGGAAAATGTGGTACATTTATACAATGGAGTACTACACAGCAGAAAAAAATAACGACATTTTGAAATTTCCGGGCAAATGGATGGAGCTAGAAAACATCATTTTGAGTGAGGTAACCCAGACCCAGAAAGACAATTATCACATGTACTCACTCATAAGTGGTTTTTAAACATAAAGCAAAGAAAACCAGCCTACAAATCACAATCCCAGAGAACCTAGACAACAATGAGGACCCTAAGAGAGACATACATGGATCTAATCTACATGGGAAGTAGAAAAAGACAAGATCTCCTGAGTCAATTGGGAGCATGAGGACTATGGGAGAGTTGAAGGGGAGGGGAGAGACAGAGAGGGGAGCAGAGAAAAATGTAGAGCTCAATAAAAATCAATAAAAAAGGAAAAAAATACAATGTCCTTCCTGCACAAGAAGCACACATGTCATAGCACCCTCTCCTAACTACATATACTTTCCTTTAGACACCGCCTCCATCCCTACTTTCCTTAGCATGGTTACACACACATACACAACCCATCAAAGTAAAAGATATTTCCTAAAGCAACAGGTCCTTACAAAGGTGTGCAGAAACAAACCAAAATATAAGGAATTTTTATGGCACAGAAAGATCAGTGGGTTACACTCAGTCAGGCTAGGGCCCATTCCTTTTGATCATGATTCTACAAACATATATAAAGGCATGTGATGGGGGAGAGTTTTCTGTTTTGTGTTAATTTCATTGGTTAAATAAAGAAACTGCCTAGGCCCATTTGATAGGCCAACCCTTAGGGGGGTGGAGTAAACAGAACAGGATGCTGGGAGAAAGAAGCTGAGTCAGTGAGTCACCATGATTCTCCCGCTCCAGACAGACGCAGGTTAAGATCTTTCCTGGTAAGCCAGCTCGTGGTGCTACACAAAATATTAAAAATGGGTTAGATCAATATGTAAGAGCTAGCCAATAAAAGGCTGAAACTAATGGGCCAGACAGTGTTTAAAAGAATACAGTTTCTGCGTAATTATTTCTGGGTAAAGCTAGCTGGGTGGCGGAACACAGCCCCACCGCTCTTATTACAACAGGCATGTACACGTCACTGACAGTGATCATCTAGCCACTCACAATGAAGACCAGCCTCCTCGGTTTTAAGATAAATATTCCCATTACACAGAAACTACAGACTGGAAACAAATAGGCAACAAAAATGCTACAGAACAGCTACAGCAGGAACTCAGGTTTGAAAGAACTAGAAAAGTCATCTTGTGTTCAGAAGCATTTTTGCCCCTCACCTAGCTTGTATTGTCTTGGGAATATGGATCTGTTCTTGACAGAACAAGATCAGACTGGAAATACTGAGTTTTAATGTACAGTCACTTGTCTCCAGATAGACTACAGACAATTCAAAGACTGCTTGATTTCTGTGTCTTCTATTATAGCAGTTAGAAACACATGGCAGGTATGAACACTTAGTAATGAGTGAGGTCAAAACAGTAGAAACAAGAAAGTGAAAACATCACAGAATGATGAGATTTTAGAGCAAGGAGAGTCCATGGAGACTTTGTTTCAATTACTCCTTTTATAATTGAAGAATTTTTTAATTACAGTATAGTAGCCTGCCTATAACCAAATAAGTCAATCTATGGCTTTTACTCTGGAGTTCTACTATACTATACTTCATCTTCAAGGATGTAAGATAAAAGAGTCCTCGAGGGAACTACTGCTTGTTAGTGAACCTGGGCTTCCCTAAGCAGAATGTTAGTATATAAAGACTCAAGTTAAACTTCACAAAAGAAAAAAAAAAGAAAAGAAAAGGAATGAATAATAAAAATTATACCAGAGAGTAAATGGGGGAAAAGGAATAAGTTGGATTAAAAAATATGAGAAGAATTAAAAAAAAAAAAGGAGGGCCAGTGAGACAGCTCAGCAAGCCTACTACTGTTAATGACTTGAGTCCCATGGCCAGGACCCACATGGTAGAAGGAGAGCAAGTTGTCCACATAAATAAAATAAAAATATAAAACATTTTTTTAAGGAATTAAGAAGAGAAGGGCAAACTAAAGGGCTGGAATACAGCTCTGCAGGTAGTGAGCACTGGCCAACACACAGAGCACTGGGTTAGATGCCTAGCACAATCCCCCAAAATAGTTAATTAATTAAATCTTTAAAAAAAAAAGAGGAAGTAGAGATGAAAAGTGACTACAGTGATATGAGGAAAAGGCATCTGTGGAATTTTTAATGTTACAATATTCTCTTAAGATTACTGAAATTTACCATTGCCAACCGTAAAATCTAGATTAACTGCAAAAAAAGAAAAAAAAATCAGCCACCAATCTTTCGCTAAAAGTCATTTGCAACCAGCACTGTCTGAAATCCAAGTGTCCTGGGTCACCAGCATGAAAAGGAAGTTTGATTTTAAATTTCCTTTCTTGCACAGTCTTCTTTTACTTAATTTCCCCCTTGCACACTACCCCTAACTCTCTTCCTTTTTACTTCCTCTTTGGACTAGCATCTGCATTTGCTAAAAGGGAGCTAGCGTGAACTGCCAGCAACAGTGGAACGATCTGTTTCTCTTAGATATCACAGTATCTGGCCACTCCTCGCTTTACAGATGTAAACAAACCACACAAAAGTCCAATTCTGCCTTCAAATATAAATTTAAAATTCTCTCATTTGATCAATGTTGAACATTCTAATTTCCTACCCATCTGTCACCATCCATTTAAAAAGGCTTTAAGACTAAAAAAAAAAAAAAAAAAAAAAACTTTCCATTTTTCCCCACACATTGTAAAAAATACAAAATGGACTCTGAGAATCCTTGAAAACAACTTTGAGAATTTCCTTACCCTTCTATCTAATAACGATTAGTGTAATTTAAAATTTTTATATGGCATATTAGATGATGAAAAACTAAAAACAAACACTTCAAACAGAAACCCAATCACTAAGAGTCAGGCATCTTATATATGCATGTGATAGCAGTGCCCAGGGAGTAGAGAAGCAGAGGGCCATTCTTGGCTGAATAGGGGGTCTGAGACCAGCTGGAGCTACAAGAATCCCTTTCTTACACGCACAAAAAGAACAAAAACAACTGGTCACACACGCATTTAATCCCAGCACTCAGGAGGCAAAGGCAGGTGAATCTCTGTGAGTTTGAGTCCAGCCTGGTCTACAGTGCAAATTCTGGGGCAGTCAGGGCTGTTACACAGATAAACCCTGTCTCGAAAAAAAAAAAAAGCCTGAATTCATTCTAGGATCCCCATGGTAAAGGAAAAAATTCCCACAAGCTTCTCTGACCTCTACAGATGCACTGTGGCATATGCATAGATAAACATGCACAAATAAGTACTGTTAAAAAGGAATAAAAAGGGACGAGATAGATGGCTCCACGACTGAGAGCACTGGCTGCTATTTCAGAGAACCCAGGTTTGATTCTAATTTTGTTGCCATTCATTTAAAAAGTCTGCAACTCTAGTTCCAGGGATACAATGCCTTCTTCTGGCCTCTGTGGGCACTAAGCATGCATAAAGTAAACAGATACTGGGATTAAAGGCGTGGTGGCGCACGCCTTTAATCCCAGCACTCCGGTTCGAGACCAGCCTGGTCTACAGAGCTAGTTCCAGGACAGGCTCCAAAGCTACAGAGAAACCCTGTCACGAAAAACAAAAAAAAAAAAAACCAAAAAAAAAAAAAAAAGCAAACAGATACATATATAAGCGAAATACACACACTGTTAAAAAAAAAAAAAACAGAAAACATACAAATACTAAAATCCTTGGAAGAACCATGAATCTTGCAAATAATTAGACTTTGGGGTTCTAAATTAAATTGAACAAATGAAAATAAAACAAGCCCAGCACTAGTGATGATATAGGCAAATGAGCACACTTGACAAGTGTGAACAGCACTGTGAATTAGAATGATCTCTCATATATTTTGAAATTACCTAAAACTGATTTGATGAATGGGGATGTTGGTATTGATTTTATGTTTTTTTTTTTTTTTGGTTTGGTTTGGTTTGTTTTTCAAACACATGTTTTCACTGTGTCGTTTTGGCTGCCCTGGAACTCTCCCTGTAGACAGGCTGGCCTCGAATTTAGAGATCTGTTGGTCTCTGCTTGCTTAGAACTAAAGGAATGTGCCACCACCGCCTGGCCTATTTTGCTGTTGTTGTTGTTTGTTTGTTTGTGGTGAGTCTCTCACTCGGTGTCAAACTGGCCTTGAACTGCTGCAGCTTTCCTAGTGCTAGGAACTATGTACAGGTGTGATTTTACTCTTCAAACTAAGTCGATTCTGTTAAACATTGTTTTAATTTTTATTTATTATTTTTATTTTTGTTTACCTGTTAAAACATTCTTGAGATGATTTCATAGAGCCCGACAGTAGGATAGTAGTGACTGGAGAAAGAGACAATGAGGAAAAATTACTCAACAGCTACTACTAAGTTATAGTCAGACAAAAGAAGAAAAGCTTTCCTGTGCTATCGCACAGCCAGGGACTACATATAATGATGACACGTGTGTGTGTGTGTGTGTGTGTGTGTGTGTGTGTGTGTGTGTGTGTGTTAAATTAAAAAGGCTGGCTGTAATTGCATATAGCTTTGTTCCCAACACTCAGGAGGCAGAGGCAGGCACATTTCTGTGAGGCCAAACTGGTCTTCATGGTGAGTTTCAAGCCAGCCAAGGCTATAGAGTGAGACTCAGTCTCAAGAAAACAAAGAAAGGAAGGAAGGAAGAAAGGCAGGCAGGGAAGCAGACAGACAGACAGAAAGACAGAGAAAGAAATTTTAAAGAAGTTGTAGTAGGCATTTTTCTAATTTATAAAGAAAAATTGTCACAAAACTAAATTTTTTAAATCAAACTATTGATCTAATGATTATTTATATCCAATTTCCTTTAAAAGATTAACAGCAATTGCTTTATGTTCAGAATTTAAATTTAAAGGGAAGGACCTTTAAAATCTTTTGGTTTGATCCTACCATTTGTTTAATGAGAAAATTAAATTCCAGAAAGGCTAATTTAACATGTGCATAGTGGCACAAACCATCAGGAGGAGAGCAGGGCCTGAAATTCCTTTCCCCAGATCTCTCAGACACTGCAGCCTACTCAGATCAGCTTAGTGAGCCTGAGGGGCTCACTTAGCCTTGCTCCCCAATTTAGTCCAAGCACAGGAATGTTTTTGTTTTATTGTTCTGATTTATTATGTGTATGAGTGTCTTGATGTATGTATGCACCATGTGCAAGTCAGGTGCTACAGAAGTGTCAGAAGAGGACATCTGATTTCCTCAGAGTGACAGATGCTTGTTAGCCACCATGTAGATGCTGGGGACAAACAGTCCTCTGCAAAAGCAACAAGTACTCTTAGCCCCGAGCCATCCCTCCAGTCCCATTTTCATTCTTTTTAACTAAAGTGTAACAAACAAACAAAAAAACTACAACTGCAAGAATCCTCACTAACCATTATAAATACCTCCAGTGTCAAGAACACAATACTGCCAGGAACAGAAAGCCCCTTCAATTTTTCTGGAAAACCACCATTTTGAATTCTAATGCCAGATTTCTCTCTTTGTGAACACTGTAAGAATGGAACATGGGAGGACTCGCACAGTCTACACTGGGGAGGGGAAGCTTGCTTTTTCACCTTATATCATTTCTGAGAATTTGCCACTGTTGTTCTGTGGAGCAGTAGGTTGTTTTACATTTCTGGGCATTTTTCATCTTAATGACAATTTTTAAACAATTCTGAACAACTTTACTTACCTATTCTTTTGTTAATGGACATCTAGTTTATTTCCAGTGCTAGGCTACTGTGATTAAAGTTGGATAGAAAATGCTGTGTAGCTGGGCAATGGTGGCGCACGCATTTAATCCCAGCACTCGGGAGGCAGAGGCAGGCGGATCTCTGTGAGTTCAAGATCAGCCTGGTCTACAGAGCTAGTTCCAGGACAGGCTCCAAAGCCACAGAGAAACCCTGTCTCGAAAAACCAAAAAAGAAAAAAGAAAAAGAAAATGCTGTGTATATGTCCTTTGACACATAAATGCAAACATAAAAAACAAAGAAGATCACTAGCACATGGGACTATGCATGTTCAACTTTGATAAATATCAGTTTTCCAAAGTGGTTATAGTAAAACCTAACATTTGACAGGTAGGCAGATTAGAAATGGATAAAAACTTGATTTATTTTTCTAATAGAGCAGTTGCGTATACTAGGATCATCTGAGTAGAGTTCAAATCCCAGTTCAACTAGCATTGGACTGCCAGGCAAACCAAAGCTCCACTCAGACACTGCACATGGGGGAAAGTAATGGACCTTAAATAATTAGATACCAAGAAATGTGCTTGAAAAATCACAGTGGGGTTGACTTTGTTTTATCCTTTGTTTATTTTATAGCTTTTGCATTGATTTGGGTTTGAGCAACATTAGTGACCACACTTGAATGTATGATGGTAAGGTAAGAAAAGGCAAATTGTTTCCAATTCTATGGTGAAAAATAAGCCACAATTTCTAACTTAGATGACAATGATGATATTTTTGAGTCTGCTCTATAAACTTCATGCTGAAACAAACACACACACACACACATACACACACACACCATCCCTTAAGCTGGCCTCTTACTTCCCTTCTCTCTTCAGTTACTTCTCAGAATAGGAATCTGGGCTTTTTTGGGGGGGGGGGTCGTCTTGTTTTGTTTGGTTATTTGTGATAGGGAGAAGTAGGACTCATGAATGAATGCATAAAGGAAGTGAAAGTGTTCATCAAGTAGCCAGAGTGATGAAGCACAAAGCCTTTTTCTGTATAGACTTTTACATAATAATTCTACAGAGGAAAAATGATATTAAATAATATCGTATGGGACCAGGATAGTAGTGTACACCTACCTGTAAACCCAGCATTCAAGAAGATGAGGTAGGGAGATTTAAAACAAAACAAAAACTGTGTATAGAGTCAGGCGTCGTAGAGCACACCTTTTAATCCCAGCACTCAAGAGGCAGAGACAAGCAGATCTCTGTGAGTTTGAGACCACCCTACAAGAGCTAGTTCCAAGACAGCCAGGACTGTTACACAGAGAAACTCTGTCTCAAAAATCCAATAGCAAGCAAACAAACAACAACAACAACAACAAAAAAAACCTCATGTATGATCTTTTCTCTAAAATTATAAATTTCCAGTATTTAAGCTCATTTTAGAACTACCTCTAGGTATATGTCATTTTCAGCAGGTACATATCATTACATTAGGTATATATCACTTTTGCCATTACTCTTCCCCACCTTCCTCAACATTTACTTTGATATGAACTATGCTCTCTACACATTTTATGAGTTCTCTCATTTTCAGTCTCTTCCCCACTCTATAAAGGTCTAGGTGTGAACAGGAAACATAATTATGAAAGGAAACTAACAACCCAATCAACTAACTACTAGAAAATTCTGAAGAAAGAATCTACAAGGAAGCTATCAATGACATCTTATTCTCAAAGGCCGCATAAAGAACAGATAATCTGAGTATTCTAAATCCTATAACTATCTTTTCAGAAGGGCCATAATTACTGACATGTGATGGACAGGCTTGAAAACAGGGTTGAATTTCAGTTTCAGCAAGCTAAATAGTATAATGTTTCACTTGAGTTTCACTTGAACAGAGTTCCCCTTTACATAACTACAGATACCTTTGCAAGTTCAAATTCAGCTCCTCCCACCAGAACACTCACATCAAAAGTTCAGCTCCAGTGACAGTGACATGAGTCCTGCCCTGTGCTAGGAAAGACTGCCATTTTCTAGTCTGTGTCAAGAGTATATTAAACATACTGTATATGATTATCACACGAATACTACAAGAAGTTCTTTGACCATCTACTCTTCCCCAGCAGAGCATGAATTCTCTGAGAGTAGGCAATAATACCACCCTACTCTGAAAACACTTGTTTTAGCACAGTCCTTGGCATTACACAGGCAGTACATAAATAATTGCTTAATAAGAGATGTCATACTGGTGATATAGCTCAGTGGTAGAGTACTTGCCTAGAATGTCCTTGATTCAGTCCTTAGCACTGGAGTAAAAAAAACACCACCACTAATGGGTAGTCTATTTTGGAGGCTAGCATGGGTTACACAACAAGTCTAAGGCCAGCCTGAGCTACATAGTAAGTCTACAACGAGAAGTTAATATATTAATGATGGTTTATATTAATATACAGGCATTCATAGAATGAGTTAAACACAAATACTATACATAGAAGCTAAAAGGGTACCTCTAACACCACTCGCTTTCACCTAAAAATAGGAGACATGTTTATGGCTTTTGTAATAATCACCAATGAATAGGAAGTGTAAGAATTTAAGTTTTCTGGTATTATCTAAAGACACAGAGTTTTTTTTTAATTTCATTTAAAAAATTAACTTTATTTTTCATCATCTAGTATCCTTTTATAACCTTTAACTTTCAGAATGTCTATTTGTTATACACACGTATCTTTGGGAAGCTGTAAATCCTATCCTATTCCACAAAACTAAGGCTGAGAGTCATGTTCAGTGAAACTTTGGTTTCATTTGCCATAGCTGACTAGACCAGGCAGAAAATGCTTGCCTTTTACTAGATTTTCTCTTAGGGATGTAGAATGAGATCACAGAATCATGAGACAATATATGAATTTAGAAGTCAGAAGACATGGGCTGAAGAGATAGCTCAGAGATTAAGAGCGTTGCCTGCTCTTCCAAAGGTCCTGAGTTCAATTCCCAGCAACCACATGGTGGCTCACAACCATCTGTAATGACGTCTGATGCCCTCTTCTGGCCTGCTGGCATACACACAGACAGAATATTGTATACATAATAAATAAATAAATAAATATATATATATATTAAAAAAAAGTCAGAAGACAGCCTGACAAAGACACACAGGCCTTTAATCCTAGCACTGGGAGGCAGAGGCAAGTGGATTGCTATGAGCCTGAGGCCAGACTGGTCCCAGGTTAGCCAAGTTGCATTGGAAGACCTCATCTCGAAACAACAAAAGCCAGAAGCCATGTCTACCACACACAGCGGTGAAAGACAACATGCAGAGAGACAAAGATGAAGTGACGAGTAGAGGCGTGGGAATCTCTCTAGTCCAGAGTGCTGCGACAGACGCTGCTGATTGCTGGGGAGTGTCCAACTCCAGGTTCATGCTCTTTTGTTCTTCTATCACTAGATGCCATGCAATTTCAAGTATCCTTGTCATTAATTCCTGTTTTCAATGAATTAGTCTAAATTTGGTTTCTACTGCCTACAAACAAAAGAAAGCTGACAAACAACAACCCTCAAACCCCCCAAAAAGATCATGGGCATTCTAAATTACTCTTGTAATCCCTGCATTCATGAGGAGGGAGAGACAAGAAGATTATCCCAAGTTT